TCCCTTAAATAGGCTCCAAATAACCTAATTTTCAAAATACAGTCAACTTTTTCTATTTTTGGAAAGTTGCCCAGTGCTGCAACACTACTTGTCCAGCGCTGCAGAGCTGAGCTCTTTGGAAATTTGTATGTCTACGTCATTTCATCAACGCTGCAGTCTTGTTCTCTCAGCGCTATGGCAATCTATCAAATTCAAGCATGAGTTTCACCTTGACATGTTCTGAACTGGGAAAAGTAGTAAACATAAAAGTTTTAGCCTTGTCTCTTAAATTTCCAATGGATCAAGAATCACATCAATTGAACTCCTGGATTGAAAGATATGCTCCAAATACCACATCATATTCAGTCCTTGCGTACTGCTGCAGTGCTCTGACTGCACTGATTTTCATCAAATGAGCCTTTTTCATCAATTTCCTACAAAAGCCATAAGAGAAATTAGCAATAACTACTCTTAAAGTAATTTAAAATAAAATAACATAAAATTTAACTAAAATAACTTAAATTAATTACTTAACAAGTAATCAAACTTAAACTATAAAAACACCTAAAACGCTAAAATTTGAAACTAAAATCTCAAAGATCTAGCTACTTAAGCCCCCAAAATGTGTCAAAATAACTCTATATAATAGAGTTATCACTTAACATCCTAAGGGAGATCCAAATGGCTATTCAAAAATCTATAGTTGCTAGGGAACAATCCATAAACAAACCATATTTGTTTGATGGATCAAACTAACTCTATTAGAGCATTAGAATGTCAATCTATATAAGGGCAATAGATTATGAAATGTGGGATGCTGTCACTGATGGACCATTCATCCCCTTTGCCATAAATGTAGTGACCAATGAAATGATTTCTAAGCTAAGGGCTGAATGGACTGAAGCTGAAACCAAAAAAGTTCAGACAAACTTTAAGGCTATAAACACTTTACATTGTGCTTTGACCCCTATTGAGTTCAGCAAAGTGTTAAGTTGTACCATTTCTAAACAAGTGTGGGACAAACTTAGAGTTATCCATGAAGGGACTTCACAAGTCAAGGAGTCTAAAATAGCTCTTCTAACTCACAATTATGAAATGTTCAAAATGGAATCTAGTGAAGATATCACCAGCATGCTTGATAAGTTCACTAATATCACAAGTAAACTCAGGTAATTAAGGAAGCCAATCCCTAAACATAAACTAGTGAAAAATTTTTTTGTAAGCCTACCTAAACTTGGAAGCTAAAAGTGACTGCCATTAGAGAAGTTAAGGATTTAAATATCATTACTCTTAATGAAATACGCGAGTCTCTTCTCACTCATGAGCTAGAATTTAAAGAAAAAGAAGAAAAAGACAAAAGAGAAGCAAAAGAAAATAAGAAAAGCGTGGCCTTAAAAGCAAGCACTCTTAAAGAAGAACTAGATAATCTATCATGTGATGGTTGATGATAATGAAGAATTAGCCATGGTGGCAAGAAAATTCAGAAAACGTATGGGACAAAGAGATAGGAGGTTGGTTAAGAAAGGATACATAAGAGATCAAAGCTCTTCTTGGAAAATCAAAAATAAAAATGAATCCAACAAGAAAGAAGATGTAATATGTTATGAGTGCAAGAAACCTGGACACTTCATATTAGAATGCCCTCTGCTAAAAGAGGAAACTCCCAAGAAAAATAACAAATCAAAGAAGGCTATGGTGGCTGCAACCTGGTTTGATAGTGATGTTTCAAGTTCAAATGTTGAAAAAGAGAAAGTGGAAGAAAGAGCAAACTTATGCTTGATGGCCAAAGATAAAGAATCCTAGGTATCTTTCACTCCTTGTGATATTTCAATTAATTAACTTCAAGAAAAATATGAATATCTCCATAATGAGTCTAAAAAACTTGCATCAAAATATAAGGCTTTAAAAAGGAAGACTGCATCTCTTAAGATTAATTCAGAAAAGATAAGACATGAATTCAACTTTATTTTTGAATAAAGAAATTTTCTTCGAACTGAATTAAAAATTTCAAAAATAGTTCATGAATTTCTGAAATTAGAACTTGAAAACAGAACTAAAGCATTGCAAAAGGCTATGGATGAAAACATAGCACTTAAGAGTTTGACAAAAGAAACATCAAGAAGAATCACAAATTTTAAAAGAAATGCTGATGATTTCTCATCTAAATGTTATGTTTGTGGAAGAATAGGTCATCTTTCTTATGACTGTTATAGAAGAAAAAACACTCAAAGAACAAAAATAATTTGGGTACCAAAAGGATCCTTTGTAGCAACTAACCTTCAAGAACCAATCAAGGTATGGGTACTTGTTAAGAAGAATTGAAAGTTTTTCTTACAGGTTGAGCCAAATCGAGAATACATATGTCTAAAAGCTTAACTGAAGCAAAAGCAACCATGGTACATGGATAATGGTTGCTTAAAACATATGATTGGAAATGAAATGTTGTTTGCCCAGCTGGACAAGAATGAAGGAGGTACTATATCTTTTGGAGATGATTCAAAAGGTAGAATTCATGACATAGGAACCATTGGTAAGAATTCTCATGCTCAAATTGATCATGTGCTATTTGTTAAAGGTTTAAAGCACAATTTATTAAGCATTAGTCAAGTATGTGACAAAGGATTTAAGGTATGTTTTGATTCACATAAATGTGAAGTTATAGACATTAGTACTAACAAAATTTCATTCATAGGAAAAGGAATAAAAAACATGTATGTTATATTTCATAAAGATCTTGAATTAAATTGTGAAACATGTCTTATGGCAATTGATGGAAATGATAGCTGGTTATGGCATAGAAGATTTGGACATGTAAGCATGCATACCATCTCAAAATAGATGAGAAAAAATATGATTATTGGATTGCCTGAACTTAAATTTGAAAATGATCAGATTTGAGATGCTTGTCAACTAGGTAAACAAGTCAGAACATCTTTTAAAACTAAGAAGATTATTTGGTCTAATCAACACAACTAGCTTTGGAGGTAAATCATATGGTTTTGTGATAGTTGATGACTACTCTAGGTATACTTGGGTCTACTTTCTTGCTCACAAAATGATGCACTACCTGTATTTGCAAATCATTGTAAGAGGGTTCAAAATGAAAAAAGACTTGTTATTGTTAGCATCAGGAGTGATCATGAAGGTGAGTTTGAAGGAGATGATTTTGAAAATTTTTGTAATGAAAAGGGTTGGATCACAACTTTTCTACATCTAGAACACCCCAACAAAATGGGGTTGTAGAAAGAAAAAATTGAACTTCAAAAGAAATGGCTCAAACCATGCTTTGTGAAAACAATCTACCAAAGTGCTTTCGGGCAGAAGTTGTCAACACAGCAGCTTACATTCTTAATATAGTATCAATAAGTGCCATGATATCAAAAACCCCATATGAACTATACAAAGGTAGAAAACTAAATATTTCTCACTTTAGGAGCTTTGGCTGCAAATGCTTTGTATTGAACAATGGAAAACATTCTCTTGGAAAGTTTGATGCTAAAAGTGATGAGGTAATATTTTTAGGATATGCATTGAACTCAAAAGCTTATAGAGTTTTTAACAAAAGAACTTTAACAATTAAAGAGTCCATCCATATAGTTTTTGATGAATCTAATGCCTTGCAAAAAGAAGTTCTTGTTGATGAAAATGATGTAAAGGACTTTGAAAGACAAATGGAAGAAATAAGCCAAAAGAACAAGAGAAACAGTGAAAAAAACTCCTATGGAAGAGAAGTAGAACCTCTACCCTTAGAAAATCTACAAATGACTAAAAGTCAACACAATGACCTTCCAAAGAGCTGGAAATATACTAAGAATCATCTATAAGAGCCGATCATTGGTGATCTTACAAAAGGAGTCAAAACCAGAAGAGAAGTAAAAGAAACAAGTGAATATTCAGCTTTCATCTCATAAATTGAACCTAAAAACTTTAAAGAGGTAGAGAAAAAAGAAAGCTGAATGCTAGCCATGCAAGAAGAACTTGAACAGTTTGAGAGAAACTGAGTATGGACATTAGTTTCTAGGCCATTCAATCACCTAATTGTTAGTACAGAGTGGGTGTTCAAAAACAAAGTAGATGAGCAAGGTAATGTAATAAGACAAAAAGCTAGGCCAGTGGCTCAAGGATATAATCAAGAGGAAGGTATTAACTATGATG